GCTAAGAGGTGGAATATTTCTGCATTCATATTTGAGGGGTAAAAAATGTGTAGTTCATTTTTCCAAAATCTTGAGTTTGAACATGTCTTTGCAGATTTAGGATCTTCCATGTGATATATAGAGTTTTGTTTCTGGACATGAAATAGCCACTGTTGGAAGATTTACTTCCTATGTGGCTAAATATTTCCTCATTCAACAGACATTCATGAAATCTATGATGATGATGATGATGCCGTCAAGGAGTTCTCTGACTAGTGGGAGAAATGGACACCTAAACAGGTACTTAAAAGTGCTTGAGGGAGTGCCATTCAGTTTGCTAGAGCTTACATTCCAGCTAGAGAGAGATGAAAAGTAAGGCCAGAGGGCTAGGGAGAGGCCACACCGCAGGAAGCCCTGTGCCCCAGGGCTCCTATACTAGTAGGATAAAGAACTGCCATCACCAACAAGGGTCTGAAATGCTGGAAGTAGAGTTCTCACTCCCGGGAACAGTTAACTTGAGCCTTCCATCCCTTGCTTCTAGCCAGGCATTGAGTCTTCTGCTAGCACCTTGTGCATCTGCCAGCAGATTGGAGATGAGATGGGGGAGTTAGGCCTGGACCCATACTGCGGTGCCACACTTCACATCTCCCTGCAGTGGTCATACACCCACCTTAATGCCTGAATTCCCAGGACAACAATTAATAATGTCCTCTTTCACTCTTAGCAGTGTCCTGATTTAGACAATAAGTCGTATGATCACCCTAATTTCTCCCACATTCTATTGGTCAAGATTCAATCACATAGTCCCATCTGACTTCAAGGGAGGCAGGGAAATTTATGTGATGGGAAGGAAAAAGCAATAGATTTTGGCAAATGTGAGGCACTCCCTGCTGCCAATGTAAAGGAGGTGAAGCTTTCTCCTCTGTACCCATTGCCTTTGAACCATTGCCACTTAAATTCTGATGTTCCTTTGAAACCTTCTGGTTTATTTTAAAAATTCCTTTGAATTTTTGAGTTCTGCTCCATTATATGTTTGTCTATTTCTTAAAATAAAAAATATTGTGCTTTCTTCAAAAATCCTCACAAATAATGCTCCAGGAATATTTGCCATGGTTACTTGACATATGATCAACTCCTGGAACAGCAGTATGAATAGCCAGTTTGAGACACACCCCACTGAACAGTCTTAGGCAGAAGAGTGAACCGGCCAGATTTTCATTGAAAAAGACCACTCTGACAGCTTTGTGCAGTGTAGATTCCAGGAGGCAAAGAGCAGAGAAGCCAATTCAGATTCTTATAGTTACCTGAGAGAAAGAAGACAAAGGATCTGATCAGTGCTGGTAGGGATGTTAGGAGATTAAATCGGGAGGGCTAAACCAAAACTAAATCACTGATAAATCTGACTATATAAAAATTAAATGCTTCAGCAAAAACATCCTAACATTAAGTTTGAAAGGTGAAGTACAAACAGGAAAAAAAAATGGGCGACACACTTATGAATTATGAAAAGGTTGATTTCCTAATATACAAATGAGCCTAATATACAAATTGAGTCTCCTATGACTCAATAGGAGAAAGCATTCTAATAGAAAAATGGACACAGCAATTTGTCAAAGAATATAAATGGTCTGCAAAATGTTAAAGCCTTACTAACGACTAAAAAATAGGAATGAGGGACGCCTGGGTGACTCAGTGGTTGCGCATCTGCCTTTGGCTCAGCTTGTGATCCAGGGGTCCTGGGATCAAGTTCCACATAGGGCACCCCAAGGGGAGCCTGCTTCTCCCTCTGTCTATGTCTCTGCTTTTCTCTATGTGTCTCTCATGAATTAATACAATTTAAAAAAAAATTTAAAAATAGACATGAAAAGATGAGAGCTATTTTTTATTATCAAATTAATAAAGAAGGTCTCATAATAGCACACAATGTGTGTACAAGGTATTAACATTAGTGCTGTCAATAACAGTCAAAAATGAAAAAAATAATAATTTCCTTCAATGGGAAATTTGTCAAATAAATTCTGACATATCCCCTCAATGGAATATTATGCAATTACTACATTATTGTGTGTATCTATTTTAATTGAAATAGATACTCATGACCCACTAGTAAGTGAAAACAAAAGATTGTCAAACTCCTTGTGAAACATGCCTCACTTTCTGTAAAATTGTCTACACATATGTGCAGGAATGTGCATGTGTACATACAGAGATATCTGTAAGCCTTTTCAACAAAATATTAAAACAGTGCCTATTTCTAGATGGTCGATTTCGAGATGATTTTTACTTTTTTTTTCTGTGTCTTTCTATATTGTTCTGAAATTTGAAAATAGACTCGTATCAATTATAACTGTTAAGTAAATAAAACTTTATTATTTGGGGGGAAGAAAACAGCAGTTCTTTTTATCCTTTGCAGTAAGAAATGAGGAGAGCTTGATGACTGGGTATAATTGGAAAGTGAAAGAGAAGGGTTGGTCAAGGATGACTTCCGGTTCTCTTATCCTTGCAATTCTCTGGCACTGGTTGAAGGGCAACCCTCCATTGCCTACTCTTTCTCCCCATTGTCGTTCCTTACACTTTTCAACTTCTTATCTTTCATTCTGCCCCTGCTACTGCTGGTCCCACCGTCGGGTCCTCCGCACGTGCTGCCTCATTTCAGAATGCTCTCTTCATCTAACTTTCTTAGCTGAGTGGCAGGAGATGAGAGATGAGAGATGTTGTTGGAAATGACTGACCCAAGTCCTGTTAAGTTGGCCTGGGTTGCTTTGATGCCAACACGTGCTGGAGGTCCCAGTCTGGCGTCAGAGAAGATGGATGTGTCCACTACCCAAGTTTAAGAGGGGCCCAGTACTAGGCCCATGGTTTTCAAAGTAGTAGTAACACCCCTCGAGAGGGTAAGGATTACCAGAGGTCTGCAAAGTTTGATGAGAGGCAGGAAAGCTCATTTTCACCTGAGCAGGAGGTTGAGCAGTGGAAGTGAAGGCCAGTGCCAGTTAACAACGTAAGAGGAATGAGGAATTGCCAACACATGCTTTTACAGGATTGCAGTTTTGCCTTACAATTTTTTTTTTTTAAAGCCAGGTTATGCAGACACAAACCTAAATACTATCTGTGTAAAATGTAAATGTTAAACCTAAGAGCTCTTTATTGGTCAAGAAGCATGAACAATTGAGGGCAGAGGTGTGTCGGCTTCTTGAATCTTATTCTTGTTGCCATTTGAGGCTGACTCATCCCAGCCTTCAAGGGCCAGGGCATTTCTTAGTATGCATTGAACTCATGCCAAACTATTGTTTCACACTGTTATTGTCTAAAAGACAACGTGTACTAGAAACGTGAAACAGGAAATGTCCATCTGAACTTATTACGGTAGAAGAAATTTTCCAGAGTCCATATGCTGATGTAATTATTTTCAGATATTTTTTTAAAAGGTATTTAGTGACTAGATCTTTGAAACAATGTCTTCACTGTCCTGGGCAGAGTGTATAGCTGTCTTGTAGAAGAATAGAGCCCTACAATTGCCACAATAGGGGTTCACATTGTTTTTGTATTTGGTTTTAAGGATTTTTTTTTATTTGCTCAGTGTGTGTGTGTGTGTGTGTGTGTGTGTGTGTGTGAAGTAAATATATATTTGAATGTCTTGATCTCTATTTTCTTTGAAGGGTCCTTAATTATTTTACACTGAATTTTTTCTCCATCCTCAAAGTCTATGGCACATATTCTATTTCCTTCTTCCAGGACTGTGCTTTGTGCCATTTCCTATAAATAGCAGTAGGCAGCTTCAGTAGACACTCGCTGGTTGGTTCAGTGTTCTTACAGTACTTGTAGTGGACATTTCTTAGCATAATTAATCTCTTTGTAAAAAAAATTTGGTCCCATTCTCATCAGCACCAATGTAGTGCTTTGAAAGGAACTGAAATGCTGTACTCTTTCAAGGGTTGAGGTTTAAAGCTTAAACTGGGTCTCGGGATAAGGTGAGGGGGAAAAAGCCCTCACAAATCTGGTAATTTTTTCTCCTGAAAAGTAAAAAACAACTAGCTGTACTCTAGAAAAGAAAGGAAACAGTAATTACGATCTTTTCTCCCCTACTCTCTGTACACTGTTTTCAGTTTAGAGCAAAGTAGAAGCCAGCCAGTTTTTTGGTTCGACAGTGTATTTAAGGACAGGATTGAATATATAAGCATCAAGAAGCAGAGGTCTTAATTCAGGTATGATTGTGTCTTTTCTTTCTTTTAATTTAAGTACCGTCATATTGTTTTATGTTTACTTGAGTCTGTGATCTTTTTTCATCCTATACCCTATGTACCTAACAAGCTCCTATGTACCCAACAAGCTCCATTTCATCCCATTTTGCAATTCTTCTTTTTCTTCAGTTTTACAGAATCCCAGAAATCCTCTTTTCGAGTTAAAATGCTGTCACTTAGTAGCATTAACTCTAATGTCAGTTTGAACTTCTTTTTTCCAGCATACTCTGCAGCGTGAAATCTTAAGAGTAACTGTAGAAAATGAATGATTGGTGTTCAGCCAAGCTTTGCCTGTGTCTTTCCACGACCAAAAACAATTAGGCGAAAAGGGAAAAATTCAATTGGCTATTGTTTTATCTGCCTGGTCCAAACAGCCTGTATGAATATTTTGAGAACTTTTTTTGTACCTTGATGGTTGCATTTTCATTATGTAGCTATAGCAAGAAGATTTCAGTGAGAAAGTTTCATCTTTTAAAAAAATAGCGATTTGAGAAACAAATGAGGTCAATGGGCTTCTTATTTTAGGAAGGGGGGTAGTAGGGACGATGGAGTAAGAGGAAGTCCTATGTCAGAGGGCTCTGTGCACACTTTCCTGACATACCTCAGCTATGTGTAAATGTAATCTGTTATTTTAACTATTCACAACAGTTGCATTTTGTCCTTTCTCACATTAAATTATAAAACCAATAACTAAATACGGCAAATCTTTATTTTTCAAAGATTCCTCCCCCAACTCCCCCAGTCTCTAACAGGTTGCATTTAATTTTTTTCCAAAGACCTCAAAAGCTACCAGATTATTGTTAAAAAAAATAAACACGTTTTGAGAGTCTACTGACCATCAGCCAGAGGGAAGGTTCTGAGTCATCCAAGTTCTCCAGCTGGCAAAGAAGTATGAAAAAGCTCCTGGCCAGATCTGTAGATGCTGGAGCATCCGGGTAAGTTGGGGAAACACATTCATAGAACCCAGTGAAGAAATGAGATGGTAAACACAAGCAGTGCGTTTCTGTGCCTCAAGTCAAAGCTCCATATCCAAAGGATGTAAGAACTTAATTTTTTGAGGGGAAGTGGGTGGGGGGATGGGGGACTGGGTGATGGGCATTAAGGAGGGCATGTGATGTAATGAGCACTGGGTGTTGTATGCAACTGATGAATCACTGAACTCTTATCTCTGAAACTAACAATATATTATATGTTAATTAAATTGAATTTAATAAAATAAAATTAAAATTTTTTTCTTCCCCTCCTCCAGCTTATGTATTTAGATTTTATATTGAAAAAAAAAAAAAAGATTTTGTATTGAAATGTTCCCTAGGGATGCCTGGTGGCTCAGTGGTTGAGCATCTGCCTTCGACTCAGAGCCTGATTTCAGGATCAAGTCCCACACTGGGCTCCCTGCAGGAAGGCTGTTTCTCCCCCTGCCTATGTCTCTGCCTCTCTCTGTGTGTCTCTCATGAATAAATAAATAAAATATTTTAAAAAAGAAATGCTCCCTAGATTCATAAAATATTTAAGGAATACAGAAAGAAGAAAGACTCAGGAATCAAAGGAAAGTCACCTAACACAACTTCTATGGGGTGTGTACAGAAAAGCAGGCTCCCTCCAAAGCCCAGTGTTAAATTAACCAGCACTACTTTCTCACCATGTTCTGATTTTGTACTGAATGCAGTGAGTGCAGGAACCCTGAGCAGCAAACATTTATGGATTTCATCTGGGCAAGCTCCTATCTTAAAGTTCTGATTTCTAACGGTGTCAGGCAGATTGCTTCAGTAAATTGTACAGTGAATTTTTGAAGTTAAAATTGCAACTTTGAGACACCTGGGTGGCTCAGCGGTCGAGCATCTGCCTTCTGCCTAGGGCGTGGATCCTGGGATCCAGAATCGAGTCCCATATCCGCCTCCCTGCATGGAGCCTGCTTCTCCCTTGGCCTGTGTCTCTGCCTCTCTCTCTCTCTCTCTCTCTCTCTCTCTCTGTGTCTCTCATGAATAAATAAATAAAATCTTTTAAAAAATAAAATAAAATAAAATTGCAACTTAAATGTTTACATGTTTGTGGTTTGCTTGAATATTTTCAGAGGAAAAAAATTAATGCTACTTATTTTTCAGAAGAGGATGTGATTACAATACCAAAATCCACCAAATGTGAAAGAGTGAAGGAAAACTGTCAGGTGACAACCAATTCTTTTTATCCCAGAAATACAGGTAAGGAATATGAATATCTATATACATGAGAAACTAGAAACTGTGGTTGCCTTTGAGAAAAAGAATTGAGGGTCTAGCAGTCAGAGATACTTTGCATAGTTTGTAATATTGTAATATTTTAATTTATTTCCTTGTACATATACAGCTTTTTTAAAAGAACAAGTGTTCTTCAAGTGCAAATATTTTCACTGTTAAGTCTATTTCCGTAATACTAAAAGTAAATGCCTGGTTAATAGATTCTGTGCATTAGCCAGGATGTCCCTTGATTTTGCTTACGTGGTGACACTAGCTCATGTCTGTAAACTCTTTAAAACTCCCAAAGTGATTTTGCATACGTGACCTAATTTGTAAGATCACTTTGTTATTTATTACTACTTATTACTTAGCTCTTCTAGTTTTCTTCTCTTAATATGTGATTATTATATTGAACTGCAAAGTTTTTGTTCCCTTGTACCACACAAAGAAGATATGACGCTGTATTCTTCAGTAGTTTCTAATGAAGTTCTATGTGATACGTTAACACTTTCTTCCTTAAGTATTGGACCAAGCTATAACAGAATTATAAAGGTCAGGCTATCAGAACAGAGACCTTCAGGACACTCAGGTGTTTATTTTGAGAGCCATGTGGTGTTCCATCACAATTCTGTTTCAAGTTACTTTTGTCTTATCCCACTGGGCCCAAGCCAGAGTGTTCAATAGGTGACTCTAAGGGTAAATTAAAATACTAATCAAAATTAAATGGAGGGTGTGGAAACAGAGTGGGACTATAGGGATGATGAAATTTGTCCCTCCCTGGGATGCCTAGGTAGCTCAGTGGTTGAGCATCTGCCTTTGGCTCAGGCCACCATCCCACGGTCCTGGGATTGAGTCCTGCATTGGGCCCCCCGCAGGGAACCTGCTTCTCCCTCTGCCCGTGTCTCTGCCTCACTCTGTGTCTCTCATGAATAAATAAATACAATCTTTAAAAAAAATTGTTTCTCCCCAAACCCTTCTTTGCAGAGGGGTAAGTATCACTCCTTTTCATGCGTATAGATGACCAGATAAGGAAAAAAGCTATTCTCATTCCCTGTATTTGCTTTACTAGGTTTATAGATAGACCTCAGTCCTCCTTTTTCATTAATACTCATAGTTATTTGATTTAGCAGTATTGCTGAAATTGGTTCATCTGGCCATTTTGTATTGAAACAGGCTACATAGATGGTGACCTGCTGTGAGCTGCCTGACAACAGGCTCCCTGCAGGGAGCCTGCTTCTGTGTCTGCCCCTCTCTGTGTGTCTCTCATGAATAGATAAATAAAATCTTTTTAAAAAGGATTTATTTGTTTATTTGAGAGACATAGAGAGAGTATGGGGGGTGAAGCAAGAGACTTTTAAGCAGACTTTGCATGAGGGGCATGGTTGTGCCAACCTGATATCAGGATCTGAGCCCAAACCAAGAGTCAGTTACTCAACTAACTGAACCACCCAGGCACCCTATCAGAGCTCCTTTTTTTTTTTTTAAAGATTTGTATTTATTTGTTTGAGAGACAGACAGACAAAAAGTGAGTGGGGGGATGGGGGCAGAGGGAGAAGGACGAGCAGACTCCATGCTGAGCTGCTGAGCGGGGAGCCAGACATGGGGCTCCATCCCAGGACCCTGAGATCATGGCTGGGGACAAAGGCAGATGCTTAACAGACTGAATCACCCAGGCACTCCTCAGAGCTCCTTTTTATTTGCTAGATGATATGCCACCTCATTCATGAATTGTTGAACAAAACCAATAAGATCTTTAAAATCTATTTGGTTGAATTTTATTTTTTAACATTTCCAAACTAGTTTTTAACCTCAGGAAAGAATCATCCTTATGCAGCTATTTAATACTTAATGGCCTACAGAATGTGACTATGTAATAGGGCAAGGCCGTGTTGCACAGTGGTTAAGGGTGAAGGCTTGGAGTCAAACAGACCTAAATTCAAATTTTAGTTGTGCCCCTTACCACACATGGGACCTTGGGAAAGTTGACTTAATTTTTTTAACCATCACTTCTCTCATCTGTGAACTACATTTCACTGGAAGAATAATTCTTTTTTTAAAAAAATGTATAAAGTGCATGGGCTTTATATTCTATTATAGCCCCGGCATTCAGTAATGATACCTGTTATAGTTACTAAAATTTTTTTATAGTTAACAATCACATAAAAGTATGGCAAGTCCATAGAAGCTGACCACTTGCTATCTCCCACTCCTCCCCTTGCCCCTGCCCCGGAACCCACTCTACTCCAGCTAACCACTGTTCACTGCCCTGCGCTTGCTGCTCACCGATGACATTCACACTGTGACACTCAGGGACGAGTTTCCAGTCCTCCTGGAGCTGAGCCATCAGCAGCATTTGAAAGAATTCGCCTTGCATTCCACTGACTGCTCTGCTCAGGGCTCAGTTCCCCGGCCCCTTCTCCATCCAGTATCACTCTTCTGATGACCTCATTCAGTCTTGGAACTGGAATATCATGCATAGGCTGCTGACCTCCCACATATATCTGGTCCAGACCTCCCACCTGAACACCAGACTTGTATATTCAATTGCCTGCTTGACCTGTACCTGGCGATCTTAAATGCCATCTTGAACTTGGCATGTCTAAAATCAAACTCCCTTGGGTGCCTGGGTGGATCAGTTGGTTAAGCATCTGCCTTGGGTTCAGGTCATAAACCCAGGGTCCTGGGATCGAGCTCCGTGTTGTGGGGGATAGTGGGGAGTGTCTCTGCTCAGTGGGGAGCCTACTTCTCCTTCCCTCTCTGCCTGCCCTCCTGCCTACTTGTGCTCTCTCTCTGTCAAATAAACAAAATCTTAGCAAATAAATACATACAACCGAACTCCCTGGTCTTTTCACAGATCTGTTGTTCTCACTGCCTTCCCCATTTCAGTAAATGACAACTTCATGATTTAGTTGCTTACCTAAAAGCTTTGCAGTCATCCTTGACTCCTCTCCCCCTTTCTCACACCCATATGCAAACCATCAAGAAATCCTATTGACCCCACTTTTGACATCTCTCCAGAATTAACAGCTTATCAACTCCAAGACCATCTCCTCTGTGTCTTCGGCCTCCCTGACATTTCCCCTTGATTATTGTTGGAAACTCCTAACCAGTCTTCCTTCTACAGTTGCACCTCTAGACTCTTCTCAAAAAGTAGCCAACACAAGACTATAATGTTATCCATGTCCTGTCACTCTTCTCAAAACTCTTCAATGGCTTTCAGCCTCACATGGAGTAAAACCCAGGCTGGCCTGGCATGACCCAGCGTAACCTCCTGTACCCTCTGCATTGTCCGCTCTGCTCCAGCCACACCACCCTCCTTGCTTCTCTTCCAACATGCTAGACACCCCCCACATCAGGGGTTTTGCCTTTGTTTCTCTCCCCAGAATGCTCTCCCATAGCTATCCATCCACTTATAGCCTCTCTTCTCCTTCAAATCTCCGTTCAAGTGGACTTCGTTGGCGTGGTTATTCTGACCAAACTATTTAAATTTACAGTCTCCCTTTGCTGTGTACTTTTGGTCCCTTTTTGTTTAGTCTTCTTCATAGTACTTCCACCATCTGGTATATTATGTACTTTACTATTTATCTTTATTTCTTTTCTCTCTTCTCCATATAAATGTAGTCCATAATGTCGGAGATTGTTGTATGACTTGTACACTGCCGTATCCCCATGCAGTGCCTGACATTTGGCAAGTACTGCTATTAGAGACTAAATCACTACTTAATAAATATTTGTTTGAGGGAATGCATGAACGCTTTTGAGAAAATGCATTTCCTGCCATATATGGTATGAAAGTACATGGTGCAAGGAGTCAGAAATCCAAATTCTGGTTTTGACTGGGCTTCCTATAAATTGGGTCCCCCATATAGTTCTGCCTCTGACTCTTATTTTCTTAATCTTTACAACCTATCTTGCAGGATCAATTCCAGTCTTCAAAAACAAGGTTATTTCAGGGAGTGCAGTCCCATGTTTGCAGGAAGAAGGAATGTAATTTCTCTTTTACACACCACTCACTCTCAAGAGTTGATATCAACCTTACCTTAGGAAAATTAGGTTCCATTTGGAACAGATTGTTTTTAAATTATCACTGAAATAAATTCCCAGTTAGGTGAACATCTTACCTAAGACATGGGAGGCAGTAGTGAGACTCTAACAGAATTAGGGTCCACCATCTTTTTGTGTTTAAGCAAATAAAATGGGAGAGGGAGCATTATATGCCTTCTTTCTGTCCTTGCTTGCAGATTCGAGTTCAAGGTAAGGAACAAGAAATGAAACAGACTTTGCATTTTTATGTTTAGCCAAGCTTCTCTAGTTTGCATAGTCATAAATCAAATGGCAATCTTTGAGGTTTTAATATTCTGTGCCTTACCTTTGTCCCAATTAAGAAAAATGAATAGCTAGTGTTTAGAATTTTGTATTTGTAAATACATTGCAGTGTACGAACCAAGGGATTCTCTAGAGCTTTTAAATATTTTAAAAGTACATCTTGATCAGGTCCAGCATTTGCATCGTTTAGTGAAGCCCACCTTGAAAAATATCACAAATAATTTGTGCAAGTAAGATTGGAAAAAAAGGAATGTTAAAAATACTATAGAAAACAAACTTTAGAAATGACTCTCCAGGGATACCTGGGTGACTCAGTCGGTTAAGCATCTGCCTTCGGCTCAGGTCATGATCCCAGGGTCCTGGTATAGAGCCCAGTGTGACTCCTGGCTCAGCTAGGAGGCTGCTCTACCTTCTGCCTGCTGCTCCCCCTGCTTGTGCTCTCTTTCTGTCTCTCTGACAAATAAATAAAAGAAAAAAGAAGAAACAACAACAACAATAAAAAAGAAATGACTCTTCACACACAAATATTTCATACATTGAGATATTCTAAGTTCATGTTAAGAGGATTCTAGTTCTGGGCCTTCTTTCCATACACTTCAGCTCTAAGGGCCATGTCCAAAATAAACTCTTGATTGGCCTGGATCATGTTGCTCTGTATGTGTCTCCTGAGCATGGGCCCTTGTCCTGCCTCCTACCCTTTTACCCTCCAGTTTGCAATCCCAATAAAGTTTCCTAGTACTTGTGCTCTTCCCCAGATTTGTGTGTAAATTGCTGATCTAGATAGTGTGTATATACATGAGAGAGAATTTTTTTTTCAACAAGGAGCTCTTATTAAAGTTTTCAGGCATGAAAGTCGGATAATCAGCTGTATGGTGGGGTAGGAGGGAGCCTGCCTGGGCCAGAGAGACCCACTGAATACTAAGAGAATATAAAAACCTTGAACTATAACCTAGACATGCAAGAAATAGTTGTTTAAATGAAGATGTTGCCATTTAATGTGTTGTTTGCAATAGTTTTCATTCTGTTAGTAGGAGAATTGAATTGACCGGACAATAATGTTTTCATTGTTAACTTTGTAACACAACAATGGGAAGTATCTGACAGTTTGTAACAAAACAATAAAGTAAGAAAACCCAAAAGCTCTCTTTCAAAGTTCGTTATCAGGCAACAATCTCCTCTTCAACTTTTCTCCCAACTCTCTCAAGCAATAACACAATAAGACCTTTTTATTTCATTGGTACTTATGAACTAATTTCTCTCCACCAATGCATGAGCCCTCAGCCAGCCTGGATTGGATACCAAACCTATACATTCCCATTGTACTTTGTTCTTACCTCTAGCCTAGAACATACAATGCAGGTCTACAGTCCTTTACTTGCAGTTCTGAAAAGCAAAAGTTTATTTTCTGATTGGTGCCAAGTCTTATTTGGCAGCAAAATCTGACCTGAACTGACGTGAAACTATTTATAATGTTGTATTTTACTGCAGAAATGTTGTATTTGTTTATGGGAGGCTGCCGTAGGCTCTATCAGGGATGTTACGTATTAAATGTTATAAATAAATATATATATAACATTTAATATATATAACATTTAATATATATATATATATTTTATCCTTTTTTTATATATTCATGAAAACCACAGAGAGACAGAGACATAGGCCAAGGGAGAAGTAGGCTCTTCACAGGGAGCCCGATGCAGGACTCTATTTTTACCTTTCTAAAACTCCACAAAGAGCGTTGCTTCTGAAACACCTGTGGACAGTCTTTGGACAAAGACCAATGGGCCTGCATTGTTGCCTGCTTGCTAGTCTGTGTGCCTACCAGAGGGTGAGGCCTCGAGTCAACCTCAGGTCCTTCTACTGCCCAGTACTTAGTGTGACCCAACAAATATAAATAAGACAATGAATATTTGCTTTCAACTTAACATATTTAAATGTATTGACTTTGCTCTGTTTTTATTTTTCAAATGTTGCTACTTTGAGAAAGAAGAGTGAGAGTGCTGGGCACCTAGTTGGTAGAGCACGTGACTGTTGATCTCAGGGTTGTGAGTTTGAGCCCCACATTGGGCATAGAGGGGAAAAAAAAAAAAAGAAAGAGGGCAAACAATCCTTTTTTTAAAATTTCCTTTTTTAACTGAAAACACAAATATTTGGCCAGATTGAAAAATCCACAAGAGAACCAAAAATAATATCATGTTTCCTGGTTTTTAGATTTGTGTTTTCTTACCTAGATAAGACTAATATTATAAATGCCAGATAAATCAAAGGCCAAAAGAAACAATTTTCTTTAAAATGCTTTTGAAATCTTACTAGCTAAAAAGTGGAAAAAATATCATAATGAAGGTGACGATATAGTAAAATGTGCATTCTCAAACAATGCAAGTATGAATATGGATTGTTAGAGTATGTCCAGAAAGTCTTTTACAATATAATCAAGAAGGTTAAAGAGGTTACACTTAGAGTAGAATAATAGGAGAATATTTAGTATATATTACCTAAGAAACATTTATGGTTTTGAGGCATATCAGTTCAGTTATTTATTTAGGAGATTCCAGCAGAGGATTTACTTTCTCTGGAAGCAGCCAATGTTTAATTCTGTAAGGCCTGCTATGTTAATATTTTTATATGGAAAGTTTTTAAGGTTTCTTATGTTCAATCACCCTTTTTAAGCATTATAGGTCCTATTCCATTTTGTTTAAACATGTTTTATAAGTATATGACAAGGTAATTAAAAAATTTCTCATATGTAGTATGTTTTGTTGGTTTTGGATAACAATTCTATTACCATATTACAATGCATAGTAATTTTTGAAGACCCAGTCAAAACAGTGTTGACAATGCATAGTAACCTCCACATTGTATTAAATAAAGTTCATATAAAACACAAAAGCTACTGTATCTAGATGAAATATGAAGACTTTTAATATGGAAATTAGAGGCTTCCACGAACATTGGAAGGGTCAGGAGATTAAAGATCAGGGAAGCTGTGCCAATAATCTCAGTTTGCATTGCCAAGGAGGCTGGCTCCGAGAACTTTCTCAGGAGCTTCCTTCTCTCTACCTCCAGAAAGTTCGACCAGCTATAAAAGATAACAGCACTGGGACGCCTGGGTGGCTCAGCGGTTGAGCATCTGCCTTCAATGCGGCATGATCCCGGTCCAGGGATCAAGTCCCGCATCAGGCTCCCTGTGAGGAGCCTGCTTCTCCCTCTGTCTGTGCCCCTGCTTCTCTCTCTGTGTCTCTCAGGACTAAATAAATAAAATCTTTAGAAAAAAAGATAAGCTTGCAGCACTAAAACAGGTAATTCTCAAACAGCTACCACTAAGTCATCTCAATTGTGTATGGAACCAAAGAAGGTAATTTGTAGGAACTCATCCAGAAACTGTTGTGAACTTCATGTCTACTGTCAGCCCACACATCTATCTGTCACTGCCCTGCTTGAAAAATAGCTTCTGCTCTTTCCCTTTCCGATGTCACATAAGTGCCTGTTCCAGGCAGACTCTGACCTGGAACCATCTGGGGAGGAGGATTCTGGGAACTATAGTTCTATTTTTCCTCTGAGATGCATGGATCATAAATGGGAAAGCAATGATGCCAAGTTGACAACAGACAATCATGTTTGTTTCAGTGCTGATGACAACTAGATGATATTTTTCTTTTCTGGTTTTCCATTCTATTGGTATCTTTCAGTCCAGCTCATTATGTTATTAGTTGACTGAGACCCAGAAACTTCCCAGCAGGCAAGTAAAGCAGAAGTACAATTGAATTCATCCTCGATATGCCATACTGTCCATTAAAAATTATTGCTAGTTGGTTCTTCATTCCAAATGTCTGATTCATACGAAGCTGAAGTAACCTGTTTAATATCACCATTGTCCTTAGAGTGCCAGCACACAAGTACTGTTATATAAATATTATAATTATTGTATATCTATGATTCTGCCTCACATTCATAATTTTATAAATTCTTGTTGGCTCAAAAGAGATATAATATTCTTCTTTGTGTCATCTAATTCACCCTCTCCTGATAATCAGTTTACTGAAGATGATGTCTTTTTATTTCATTTGATGCATTTTCATCAGGTAGATGTTATTTATTTAACTATTTTTTTAAAGATTTCATTTATAAAATAAATGAAAAACTCTATTCCAGGACCTTGGGATCATGACCTGAGTGGAAGGCAGACGCTCAATCTCTGAGCCACCCAGGTAAGTGCCCTATTTAACTATTTTTTATCTAGCTACAAGTTATTCATAATTATGTATAAAAACAACAGTTTTTGCAATCACCCTAAATGTACATTTATACTTCAAATGACACCAAAATAGGCATCAATCGGCAGGGCAGTCCAGGAAAATTAATCTAGCAAGACTGAATAAAATGAGCTAGAAGGAAATAGGCCTAAGGCAGAGATATTGTGGCTATAATTCTAAAGAGGAGTTAATGAGGTCCTCAACTAGGGAAGAGATTGAAGAAATGGAAAGAAGGAACAACCACAGGCACCTGGGTGGCTCAGTGGTTGAGCATCTGCCTTTGCCTCAGGTCGTGACCTTGGGGTCCTGGGATCAAGTCCCACTTGGACTCCCCATGGGAAGCCTGCTTCTCCCTCTGCCCATGTCTCTGCCTCTCTCTCAGTGTCTCTCATTAATAAATAAATAAAATATTTAAAAAGAAGAAGAAGAAGAAGGAACAACCTCAAGATGTCACAAGTTGGGAGGATTGAGAGGTTTTGGTAACTGGCTGAATGTAAGAAGCAAGAGAAACTATCAAAGATTATTCTTAGATATTGAAGATACGGAAGATAATGTGGGTGTGAGAGAAAGACATGCTGAGATGATAATGAGGAGTACAGCCAAGGCCAAGGGCAGCCTTTGGGGAGTACCTACTCTCGAAGACTGTGTAGGATGGTGATTCAAAAGGTAGGAGAATGGAAAGGCTGAAGAGAAGGAAAAGAACAGTCTCACAAAACCATAGGCAAGAATTCAAGGAGTTAGTGGACAGCAATAGTCAATGCTGCAGAAAAGGCTGGATTTTGGAACTAGGAAATCTTTTGTCACCTTTAAGGTCATGAGGTTCCATAGAGTAATGTGAACAGAAACTAAATGTAAAAGGGTTTAAGGAATGAGTCAGGGATAAGAAAATATGACAGAGTATTCTTTCGATGAGAATATATAATCGAGTTATGAGGAGACATGGGAGAAACCTAAATGCATATTTTAAGTGAAAGAGGCCAATTTGAAAGTACCACGTACTAAGTATATGGTCCCAACTGTCCGACATTCTGGGAAAGGCAAAATTACAGAGACAGGAAAAAGATCAGTGGTTGCCTCGGGTTAAAAGGGAGGCAGGGATGAATGGGCAAAGCCCAGAGGATTTTTAGGGCCGTGTAACTATCCTGTATGGTACTGTAATGGTGAATACAGGTCATTATCACACATTTGTCAAAACCCATAAATCATACAGTGATCATAATGTAAACTATGGATTTGGGTGATAATGATGCATCCACGTACGTTCATCCATTGTAACAAATGTACCAGTACGGCCTGGATGTTGGTAGTGGGAGTTCTGTAAATACGTGAAAGTATATGGAATGCTCTGTACTTTCTGCTCAATTTTGCTGTGAACCTAAAGCTGCTCTAAATATTACATTTTTATTTAAAAAAAGAATATATAACCATTTTTCATTAATATAAACTTATGGAATACATGAATATGTATATGTCACTTTTATTGGGCTATTTTATAGTCTTACAAATTACAACAAAATATACAACTTATTTTGGGGCCCAATGAAGTAACAGTATGAAGGTATCGCTCAGTTAAACATATGATAGATACGTAGAATTAGTTATATTCAAGAATGACAGGGTGGTGCAGAATTTTATATTGTTATGAATGAATAAAAAAATTGGGGCAGCCCGAGGGGCTCAGCGGTTTAGCGCCGCCTTCAGCCCAGGGCGTGACCCTGGAGACCCAGGATCGAATCCCACGTCGGGCTCCCTGCATGGAGCCTGCTTCTCTCTGTGCCTCTCTCTCTCTCTGTTTCTCTCATGAATAAAAAAATAAAATATTTTTAAAAATTGTTAGATCCATCTGCAAATATTAATTGCATGTCCCACTTATTTACTGCTGGGTTAACAAACCTTCCCAAAACTTAGTAGCTTAAAACAATAACTTATTATGTTTCACTGCTCTGGAGGTTATCAGACAAGGCTGGGCACTTCTCAGTCGGGGTCAGCTGAGGCAGGAGTCATCTGAAAGTGTCTTTGAAACTCACGTGTCTTGCTCCTGGGCCAGAGTATCTGCAAGAGCTGGGGACTGGGAGGGCATTTCTCTCTCTCTTCTCTCCGAGTGGCCACTCTCCCTTTCTGACTTTGGCTTCATACGGCATGACAAATTAAAGAGCAAGGCACTGAGGGGGGCACTTAATGGGATGAGCACTGGGTGTTATTCTATATGTTGGCAAATTGAACACCAATAAAAAATAAATTTATAAAAAAAATAAAAATAAAGAGCAAGCATTCCAAGAGATTCAAGTAGAGGCTTCAAGACCTGGGAGTTAGGGTTGGAAGTCACACAGCATCATTTTCACTGTATTCTCTTAGGCAAAGATGTCACAAACCATCTCGGATCCAAAGGAGTAGATACAGGGAAGGAAGAAATGGACGGTAACCACCCCTGAAACAAGCTACAACTTATTTGGAGGATAAAGTTGAGGACCTAATAACTGCACTGACCTTTGAGATGCCTAATTTGGCAATTCATTCCAAACTATCTGGACGCCAGATAATTAAGCCCAGATAACTCTGAACTTCTCAGTTCAAGAAGCAAGTTCTAGAATATTTCTGTATCATCTCGCATATTCTCAAGGAGGCCTCTGTTTTTCCAGTCTGTCTTCCGGTCCTTGGGTCCCTAAAATCCCCTCCCTCTCCACATCAGCAGCACCCTGGCTAGTCTAGGTAGTTCTGATTCTGTAGTTAATTATCATTTCAGTGAGCTTAAAACCTGTCATCCTGAACAGCCAGAAAAATATCTTGTTTTCTTTTATTCACTTTGAGTTAATTTCTTTTTCTTGTAGAGTTCTTTCATCCCATTTCAGTAAGACTTCCTATGATTTTTATAACGTACTCCCCTTCCTCAAAATGACATTCATAGATAAGGTTAACACGTAAGTTGTTACTTTAATTTGATAAAACATAAAATCTCTACCTTATAAAGTACTTTGAATGCCTTAAAACCTTTGCCTTTGCTGCACACACAGGCAGAATGGAGTGATATTTTAAGATTTCCTGCAACTAGAAAGGTATGGAAAGTTTGACTGATTTATATTGTGTTCTGACTTCCTGAGGCAGTTTTCCTACTGCTATTCCATTTTACTCATACCACGAAACAAAGCTTGTTGTGTGTGTGTGTGTGTGTGTGTTTTAATCAAAATTCAGCCTAGAACTATGTATGTCAGTTTTGTTCTCTGTCTCTTAAACTTAATTTTTATGGAATCTTCCAGGAGTAGCGATTTTATTTTATTTTTTTAAATTTCTGTGGAGGGGATGATTCTGGAAGCATCTGAGAATAAGAATTCCCAGTTTAATTTTCAAAATTCCCTTTAAGAATAAATAACTCTACTATTTAACATACATTTGGTGTTCTATAATTGCAGTTTTAACCTGTACCACAGAATTTAAGATTTTATTATCTATTATCTAAGTACTTTGTGTGTGACCATCACATCTTCTGCAACAGCAGTGTTTCTTTTTCAGGGCAGGAATCATATTTTACAGTTCTTTCGTATCCCTGAAGCCTGTCCCATAGTGTTAGATGGGTATGTGTCAAAGCTTTCTCCATAAATCCATGTTTATGTTGCATTCTTTCAGTTCTTAGAGTTTGAGTCTTACTTGCCTTCCTTAACCACACTCTATAGAAACATTATAAATTTTCCTGGACTAGCTTAGTCTTTTTTTTTTTAAGATTTATTTATTTAAGAGAGCAGGAGAGAGAGAGATAGAGAGAGAGAGAGAGAGGAGCAGGACGAAGGGCAGAGGGTGAGAGAGAATCCTCAAGCCGACTCCCTGCTGAGTGAAGAGCCCATGTGGTGCTGGATCTCATGATCTAAGATCATGACCTGAGCTGAAACCAAGAGTCAGAGGCTCAACCGACTGAACCACCCAGGCATCCCCCACCCCAGCCTAGTATTAAGAAACATTACCAGTTATTTGTATATAGGTTTTTCTCATTTGACTCTTTCCCCTAAGAACAGAGATAGGAAATTTTAATCTTTTGAAAAAATCTTTCTCTCTCTGATATTCGTTTCTTTCTGTGGCTCTTTATTTATCTGGTGTGGAAGCTACGCACACGGCTCTCAAACCAGACTGTGTGGGTTCAAATCCCAGTAAAGACATTTACTAGTTTCATGTATTCACAGGGAAACCTTCAGTGCCTCAGTTTCAAAAGGCAGCTCATAATCGTACTAACTACTTAATAGGGTTGTTGTGAGGACTAAATGAGTTTGCTCATGAAAGCAAATAGAACAGTTCTGTAGTAATTGAGCAATAAATGTTAGCTGCTGTTATTGTGGCATTGTTTATTTAGATTTAATAGTTTTTATTCTTTGCTAATTGTATCGTCTTCTTAATGATTTTACTAAATGCCCACTGAAGCAATCACGTTTTGAAAACATTTTGAAAGCAGATTGCTTTCACCCACCACCTTGTTTCTAAACTGTTTCCTGGTCTTTAAAAAAAAAAAAAAAGTCAGGGCAGCCCTGGTGGCCCAGCGGTTTAGCACCGCCCTCGGCCCAGGGTGTGATCCTGGAGACCCAGGATCGAGTCCCACGTCGGACTCCCTGGATGGAGCCTGCTTCTCCCTCTGCCTGTGGCTCTGCCTCTCACTCTCTCTCTGCCTGTCATGAATAAATAAATAAAATCTTAAAAAAAAGTCAGAAATTTTTTCTATTACTATTATTTAATCCTTCCAGCTTTCAGCAAAAAATTTTAAACCATGTGTTAGAGATACTGCTATAGGCAAAATGTTTATGTCCACCCACCCCCAATATATATGTTGAAGCCTAATCCTTGTTATGATGGTATTTGGAGGTGGAACCTTTGGAAGCAAAGTGGGTCATGAGAGTGGAGCCCCCATGAATGGGATTAGTTTCCTCAGAGACAAGATTTTCTAAGGAGAGAGAATTGAAGATGGCGAAGAAAAATAAGATTCAAAGACATTTCCCTTCTGAGGTAACAATTCTGTGGCTGTTGGAAGTAGAGAGAGAGAGAGAGAGAGAGAGAGAGAGAGAGATCCTGAGGCTGACATTGCGATTTGTAGGTTAGGAGGCTTGAAACATCTACATTTTTAGGCATCATCCTGGGTGCTGTGGATGAGTAAGACACATTTTCTTCCCCGAGGTTCTCAAAATCTATCAGAGAAACATTCACTTTTATGAATAGGCACAGTAAAAAGATTCCTCTTCTAGGTGGGATTTTTGTAACTTCATCACCCTTTATTTTTTCAAATGGGAGGAATAAGTTATTGAAGACACTTTCACTGAACTATTGTGAAATTATGTGAGATTGTGAAATTATGGATATTATAAGATCCCAAAATTCATTCTTCTTCATTTTAGTCACCAGGTATCTTCAGCACTGAATTTCCCAGATCAGTTTTCTATCCCTAATATATAAGGAGAGCTCAAACATATTTACTAGTCCAACTTTTTTAATGTTTTTTTAAGAGTTTATGTATTTATTAATGAGAGAGAGAGGCAGAGACACAGGCAGAGGGAGAAGGAGGCTCCCTGTGGGGAGCCTGATGGGGGACTCCATCCCAAGACACTGGGATCATGTCCTGAGCCAAACGCAGGTGCTCAACCACTGAGCCACTCAGGCACCCCCTTTTTAATGTTTTTAAAGAATATAATGAGAGGCATCTCACTAAGATTTAAGAGAAGCCCTTTGGTTCCTAGCATGCAAGATCTTGGAGTTGCAAATCTCAGCAAATATCAATTCTTTAAATGACATAGATTGACAAGAAATGGAAAGAACCGTTAAGAATGATAATTTAAAAAAAAGCTAACGTACCATGACACATAAAGAAAAGAGACATTTCCAGAGAAGTAGTCTGTTCTTCTGATTATTAATTTTCTTTCTTCTAGCTGACTAATAAATAACATTTTCAGTTACTTGTACCTTTTAAAGCTTTCTGCTGCTGGGTTGTTTATATCACTGTGGCATACGTATCCTGAGTACAACTCTTACTATCAACCCTTCTGAGGTTGCTCGTGGTTTCAGTTTCTTCATGTTCTTACACCGGACACTCAGAAGAGTATAAATCATTTTCGTTAAATTTGTCATCTTTTCTATTATGTCATTGACCTATCTTCATATATTATACCCTCTTAATCTTTACCTGCAAGATTAAATAAAGAATTCACACTGGCTCACGAAAACTTCAATTCCTCCCAGAGATTTTTAAAAAGTATATAATAAGTCATGGTGGAGTTAGAAAAAAGAGCGGTCAGGGGCACCTGGGTGGTTCAGCTCAGGTCGTGATCCCAGGGTCCTGGGATCGAGTCCCACATTGGGCTCCCTGCAGGGAGGCTGCTTCTCCCTCTGCCTGTTTCTCTGCCTCTCTCTGTATCTCTCATGAATAAATAAATAAAATCTTTAAAAAAGAAAGAAAGAAAGCAGTCAGATGATTCAGTTCCCTGGGGGAAGCATTTCAATCAGGAGGAACATAGGGGACAGAGAACACACAGTAAAAGGAGACAAAAGAGAAAAAGAACTCCCCCAGAAATGAGTCATAAAGGCGTAGAAGGGGGCTGCTAAGTGTATTTCTTTATAGGATGAGAGAATGTGAAAGTACATGCCAGTGAAAGGATGGAGGTAAGTGACTGACATCCTGTTGCCATGGCAGCCCCTAAAGAAAGCAGGGCAGGGCAATTATTTATTTCCTGTCAATGATTTCCATATATAAACAAATAAGTATTTACATAGGACAGTTAATTATTGAAATTCTTTATGAGGGGAAAAATTTAACCTCTCAGGGCTCAGCTATGCTTTCTGACATAAAAGAAAATGTTCTATCAGGATCAGTGCTGGAGGGGGCACCAGAGGGGCTTCGAAATGGTCCATTTGTTAAGCTGGCCTGTAGTCCAATGTGCATTTTGTGATAAGTCATTGTGTAGTACGTTAATATTTCAGGCATGAGTATTATGTTTCTATTAAAAAGAAAACATTTGACTTCTTGCTTTTTAAATCCTACTTTGTTTTTTGAGTGTATCGCAGATTACCTAAACCTCTTTATCATTTGTGTCTTTCTGAAGGGATCCGGTGTTTTTCTTCTAATTCAAGTCAACTCAACAAACACTGAGGGTCGGAATGTGCCAGATACGAAAGATGAAGAAGGTCTACCGTCAAGAAGCTCAAGTCTAGTGGGGAGACGTGATGCAGGGGCACAACAGTCCAGATGTGTAAATGGTCTTATTGGTATTTACCTGTAAAAGCTTTTACTCCTCTAAAAGCAGGAGTGGCTTGGGAGAAGTAGGGAAGACCTCGTCCAGCAGGTGTTTGATGAGCTGAAGAGTCAATTAATACTGAAGCAGAAATCTCCTAAGGTGTATTTCAGACATAAGCAAAGGCATGCTTCATGCACACACACACACACACACACACAACACACACACACACGCACGTGCACACATCCACTATTTGTAAGGTACAAGATGGTCAGTATGCTGAATTAGATGCCTAGGTTGTGTGAGGAGAGGACAAGAATAGGACTTATTTAAAACCTTAGAAGACCCTAAGTAAATGAGAAGATAATGCTATTCTCCATCCTCTACAGATAAAACTAAATAAAAACTAATCCTACATCATAAAGCAAGTGTAGGGAAATCAATAGAGTTCTAATTTTTCACTAGTTTGATGCATTGTAATAACAAATATAAAAATTTTTTCCTAATATTTCTTCTCTTTCTTAAGGTATATTAAGAACTTACAGATGGCAATTATAGCTAGCTTTTACTGATGCCTTACTAAATTCCAGGAGCTATGATAAACCCTTCATGTAGATTATGTCACGGAACCCTCCCAACAGCCTTAGGGGGAAAATACTATTGTTGCTTTTATTATTATTATTATTATTATTATTATTATTATTGGTAAAGAAATCGAAGCTTAGAGAGATTAATTAACTTACCCACAGTCACACAGCTAGAATGTGATCCACCCAGGACTGATGGGGTGGGCAGTCTGACAACACCATCCAAAGGAATTCTCTGCCTCAACATCATGCCTCAAGGAGTCAGTATATTAGAAGACTTGGCAAGTGCAAAGTGTTTCCTCCTCACAATGCTCTTCAGGCCTTGGATTCATTCACTCATTCAGTCAATAATTATCAAGTACCTACTATGTGCTAAGACTGTGGTAGGCACGGAGGATCAGAGGAGATTATTATGGAAGTTATCTCTGTCCTCGTGGAGTTACCATCGGCTGATCACAATTAAATGTGAGGAGAATTCTGGCAAGGATGGTCCTAAAGAAACGTGAGAAGTTCGAGCTAGTTCAGGAACCCGGGAAGTGCTCTCTAAAGAAGTGAGGACTAGGGGCACCTGGGTGGCTCAGTTGGTTACCCATCTGCCTTCAGCTAAGGTCAGGATCTCAGGGCCCTGGGATCCAGCTGCAAGTCTGGCTCTCTGCTCCTTGGGGTGTCTGATGCTCCCTCTCCCTTTCCTTTCCTTCCACCCCTGCTCATGCTGTCTCTGCTCTCTCTCTCTCTCCTTCCAAATAAATAAATAAATAAATAAATAAATAAATAATCAATCTTAAAAAAAAAAGTGAGGACTACACTGAGATCTAAGGGACCAGCGGAAGTTCCCTTGGTGAACTGGAGAAGGGAGCTTTCTGCAAGGTAAATGCCAGGAGAGGTGAGCATGCAAACCGGGCACAGCTCCTCCTCTGAGGAAGGATTTGCTGCCCCAGGCAGTGGCCGTGCTGGCAGCCCTATGGGCATTGCCTCAGCTGCAGAAAGGTGCCTCGCCCAAGGTCACGTCCGCACAGGCCACTTGAGAGGCCCTTTCGGTGGCACAGGAGCCTGCACGTTTGGCTGAGGCTGTCATGAGCCTCACAGCCTGATTTCTCCCTTTCCAATCCTGCTTCCGCCCCCTCCCTTCCACGGGGGTGACTTCAAGGGCACTCCCTAATAAACATCCTGAGCACTAACCCTGCCCGAGTCTGTTTCCCGGAGAACCCAAAGGGCGCTGCAGCGCGAGGCCTTTGATGAGTTAAGGTCCTAAGGGGCTTTCAGACTGACTGTGGGTTGAGTGGGCAAGAGAGATGGAGTGAGGCTGCAAAGGTGGGCAAGGGTCAAATAAATCCCAAAGCACCATGCTAAGGACTTCTTTTTTTAAATTTTATTTACTTATTCATGAGACACACAAAGAGAGATGCTCAACGTTTCAAGTATAATGATTCATTATACCTTAGGCTGAAATGTTGCTAGTTACCAAAACCATGGTTGTTTGAAATTTTTTTTCCTCCAAGTTTTATTTAAATTCCAGCTAGTTAACATACAGTGTAATATTAGTTTCAGGTATAGAATTTAGTAATTCATCACTTCCATATTACACCCAGTGCTCACCAGTACAAGGGCCCGCCTTGATCCCCATCACCTGTTTAACCCATCCCCCCCGCCCCGCCCACATCCCATCTGGGGACCATCAGTTTCCTTTGAAACTATTAACAAAAGAAAGTGATTCGTGAAACTCACCCACAAGCATTTATTTTGGGGCACATAAATAAGACATTGGGCAAAAGACTCCTCTCACCAAAAAATGTGGCCAAGTGACTTAGGAATCTGAAAGCTGAAGAGTGGCTTTAGGAGGTGAATAAGTAGATGAGAGAGAGGTCTGCTGAATTTCTCTAGCACCTCAGTGCGTGCTCAACACATCCGCACTTACGTGCACGCACACACACTCACACATTCACACATGCGTATACAAACAACACTACACCTTTTTCTTCCACACATCACTTTCAACCCAGATTAGTTCAGCAATTGCTTCATGTGACTGTTTTCTTTTTCTGCACCCTCTAAAAAGGATTAAAACCAAAAACAGTAAAAAACATACCCTTGGATTCAAACTTCAGAACTATTTGATCGTGCATGTAAAGATGCAAGCCCTAGAATGGGTCACAAAATCCCAACCCTTCACCTCTAAAGGATAGTTTTACGTCCAGCACAGTGATGTAGCCATAGGCAGCCCCCGGTATATCTTTTCCGAGTGAACGAAACCAAGCTACTGCTTCTGTGATTGCACCTTTTCTGAGATCCTGTCCCTTCACCTTGGCATGCCCGAGAAACCAGTGTGAGCCCTTCCTCCAGGATAACATATGCTCAATCTGATTGTTAATGTTTGTAAAGTTTACACTTTGCTTTTCTGCTGTGTGTGCCTTTCTTTATATTTTAATCTTTTTCTTCTATTCCACATAGCCTGGAAGTTTTTACATTGTCTTGGAAAAGGGAGTATGTGTCTACTTTCCATTTCTGAGTTTCTGGCTTCTTATTTTGCAAGTCTAACCATCACAGCCTATGAGAGGTGCTTGTCCCTTCACATTCCCACCAGGCCTCAGACGTATTTACCTGATAGCATGTTTGCGGTGGGTTAAACCGGATCCATGCTATCTTCCTGCCAAGTATGATATGATGTGTAAACGTTCATATCGTGCCGTCACTGAGCATAAGCCACTGTTTTCTTTTATACGTGTTAAGTCCCACACATCACAAGAAAGGAATCCCGTTATCTCGGGCCAGCTGGGAATATTAGGGCGGCTGCGAGGCTTGTGTGGGTTACAGTTCAAGTTGTCTTTTTTCTTGTCAAATGTTTTGTCTAGTTTTCATACTTGTGGCAATGTTTTCAAAGATCTTTTCTGGATATTTTACCATGGATCTGATCATTTTCCAGAGAACTAAGAACTTTTAACCCTTCGGTTTGTTGACCAACGACCCCATTTAGCATGTTACTGCAGGGCGTGTGCACCTACCTGGCAAAGTCCCATCCAGCTGCGAAATATCCTGGTGTCCTCTGAACCTCTAGCGTGGAAAAAGTAGTAAAAGTGAAAGGAACTTTTGGTTTCTGCCTAAACACGTATGTCATTTAGCTGACCTAAACAGGATGTGAGTCGTATTGATTTTGTTCTAGAGGCTTTAATACCCATTTTATTTGCAAGCAAAGAAATTAAAAGAAAGAAAATGGAAAACTCCATTCTTCCCCCAATTTCCTCTTAGGGTTTTCTCAGAGGTTGTAACCAAGGTACAACAGAGCTTAGTTTTAGGAAATGGTAACAACGTTGTAGAATTTTGGAGTGACTGTTAGTTAAACCAAGGTAATGTTATAACTCATGTCAGTTTTTTGGGGTTCTTGTAATACTTCAGAGAGAAATCCAACGTGACTCTTTCTTCCAATTGAGCCACCGCGAGGGGCCTAGGGCATACCATTGGGCCTCTTGCCTCCTTCGCGCACCAGGGCTGGGCCCCGAGCTGCAGCAGCGCCCTTCCAGGCGGTTCCCTCCCAATCCACAGCTTCAGCATTCAGTTCTCCTACTGTCCATCGCCTGTCCATCCAGCCGTCCGTCCACCCCATTCATATTACAGAACTCCTGATGGAAATGCTGGTAAGCTCATAGCACAGGGAGAAACTGAATTTCCCAGCTTTGCCAGAACATGGTGCTCACTAGAGGAGTGGAAAAGCTATTGGAAACCATAAACAGGGACAGCAGAGAAAGTAAACAAAGTGTGGAAGGGCGAGGCTTGTCCTGATGAGTGACTAAGTAGGCAGCTTCCTGTGAGCCCTTTAAAGAATGATGTTTAAAAAACTGGTCCGTATTAGTTCTTGACTACAGAGCAGACCAATTTATTTGGGGGGGGGGAATATATATATCGATAATTATATCAAGCACAAATATATGTGGTTTACTTTTAAAGTGCAAGAGACTGTGTTAGTCCAATAATCCCAGTCTCTGAAATGGGACATTTTATGCTAAATTCTTAAAAAGAAAAAAAAAGTAACTTAGACTCATGTATCTCCATGTAGAGCCCTCATCTGTAAATTATACCCATACTCTGGATCCCTCAGGCATTGCACAAAATAGAAACTGATTTATTTCATTAACTATCATTTAAATTTATAATGGGACAACACCTGTTACAACTTTTACATGTCCAATGTACTTCAGGTGCTCAGCACCTCTAGTCAGCTTGCCGTTGTTCCGTGCCTATCGGTGTTCTCTCTCCAAGTCAAATGTATGTTCCATAAGAACAGATGGCATTTTACTCCTCTCTTTCCCCTCTAGTCCCCAACTCAGTGCTGTGTACTTAACTGATGCTTAATGAATACCAAACTGATTGAGCTAAATGAATGTGTGAGAAGTCAATAGAAGTTGCCATGTGATTATAAATCTCAGACTTTAGATGGGTAGAAATACATGCTTTCTATAAAAGAGCATGGGGAATATGGAAATGAACTCCTTGCTCAGCAAGGTATTAGCAACCTGACCATGAGCTTTGGTTTCTTTACTTCTCTGAGCTTCAGCTTCCTTAACACAAGGTAAGGGTAACAATAAGTACTTGGGGATTTCTGTGAAGATTAGGGATATATGATTGAAAGTGGTTGGCATGGGGCTGGCCCACAGCCTTGAATTCATGAAGCTATTATTCCAACTTTAAAGATGAGGAGCTGGAGGGTCAGCATTGATCTAAGTCTTCCATTATCACACCGTTATTAAATGCTAGACTTGCATGACTTGGTATATGGTGCTTAAAGATTCCCTATTTGCACTCACTTTTTAGAAAGGTCATTCCTAGGGTGGAAAGTGAACATAAGGTGGACAAAAATAGAGGCAGAGTAACAAATTAAAATAGGACCTTTCAAATGTTTTGGCCATGATCCATAGTGTTACATTGTAAACCCTGAATACATACAACCATATAAAACAGTTGGGATTTTACTGCATGGTCTGCTACTCCATTCTGTTCTATTGCATGTTTTGAAAAATTCTGCTTATAGATGGCTGGGCAGCAGGGCGGGCAGCAGGGCTGGCTGTGGGGCTGGGGAGGTGGTCGGGGTGCGAGGGACAAATGACCTCAGTGGGGAGGGTGAGGTCTTTTCATGGCCTCAGTCCCCTCATCTGGTCATGGTCCTTGCCCTGGTGGTCTCAGTGGGCCACGAGGAGCTGACTCTCTCCCCCACGTGGCCACAGGCCCGGATAGGCCCAGCATACTGGGAATGTCAGGTCAGATGGATCTGGAGGACGTGAAAGGGTCCCCTGCCACAGGAAAGCAGTACCTTTGCTGGGGATGCTTGTTCGCCTGGCCCTATGCAGGACAGGAAGACATTGAGGCAAGTGGAAGACTGTTTTCTCAGAGGCCACAAAGCACATAACAAAAACAGATGGTCAGAAATGCAAATAGTGTGGAGGAGTAGACTGGGGAAAGCCCTTGAGATAGAGTGGTGAACCCCCCACAGTTGCCGCCCTCTTGGAGCTTGGCGGCAGCAACCTAGAAAACAACTAAATGAGATAAGGAGGCCACAGGACTAACACCACAGGGCCAGGAAGCTGAAAGAACATCAGGTTTGACTGTTTTGTCTTAAGCCAAGTCAACATCAGAGACCCCTTGTCATCCCTTCACTGGCCGTCACAGGAACTCTACCCTGTGCATGTTGCTCTCAAGGACCAGGACATGAAACCTGCTAAGCTGGTGATACAGTCATGGAATGACTCCTGCCCAAATTCAGAGTAAGCTTCAGGAAGGGGAAAGATTCGAGGGGGGCATGATTATTGGACTCGTTGACACTGGAAAAAATTTCATGGTGAATGAAAAACTTCACTCCTGCCCAGATCATGGAACTGGACTAACTTGAAGTTACTGTATCTGGCTATTTCAAATCCAAGATGGTTGCTAGAGCTAATATGTAGCGAGGGGAAAGCATTTATTCCAAGGAGCAAAGGGGCAGGAGACATAAGGAGTATGGAGAGTAACACTGCGGAGAAACAAACTTTTTTCATGACCATGTTGGATATATAAATCATAATAAAATTAAATTGCCACTGAATTTGATAGTGCTACCCACTGAGAGCTATTCATATGCAGCATTTCTCCACTCGAGTTTGGTGTATCAGAGCAGAAGACTGGCTTTCTTTGTTAGATGTTTCTTTGTGCTCATTGAAAATATTTTGAGTATTTTGACCTTTATATATAAAAAAAGGAAAGAGTGCCAGTAAATATTTCTGTGTTGCTACTAATTTGATCCTGCTAATTTCTGGACTGTATCAAAGAAGTAAGCTTAAGATGTTTTTTAAAAGCTTGTTATGGCCCAGAACATTGATTTGATGCCTCACTAAAGGGGCACAAATTTTGAAAAATAATTAGGTGATTGTTACAGTAATCCATATAAGAGAAGATAATAGGTATAACTAAAGCATTAGCAGTAGGAACGAGAGAAATAGATACAATAATTATTTAGGGAGAGTCAATATGTCCTTAAGTTTGAAGGAAGCACAAAGTGAGGAAGTTGCCTGGCTAACTAACCTGTTTCCATCCATTGGATAGACAGCAGT